AAGGACTTCAAACAAAAAAAAGTAATTTTCTGTTTTGTTTTATTCTTGGATCAGGCTTTAAAGGGTTAAGAAAACATGACTTATCTAGATTTAGATTTTTTTCCAGTGTGGAGAACAATTCTATTCCCGCTCCGCAACAAAGGCTGTCCGAAAGACCCCCCCCCCCAACCCCCATTCCCGACTCCCAAGACTCCTTAAAATCCGATAAATGTGTCCCTCTTTTCTGATTTGAAGGGTGGAAGTGGAATATCCCAGCATCTCCCATGATTCATTGCAAGTCAAACAAGACCGGCGGCGCTCGGACATCAATGGCGGAGGATGGCAGAGGAAACTGTGATTAATATTTAATATATTACACTTTGTGTAACTCAAAATATATATTTTCTAATGTCTATTATGTGCTTGGTTGGTCAAGATTTCAAAGATTTCCATCCGTTTCATGAGACCAAAGACCTGATGAGATTCTTCCTAAGACCTGAGAACCATCGTTGACTGTGGCAGCAGCAGGAAACAGCTCTGTTATCGATTTTTACGACACTAGTCTTTATTTTATGACCTAAGGTTCAGTTTAGAGCAAAGGGAGAAACATGCAATCCAGCATTAGCAGCGACCTTCAGCTCATCCCTTTGAGAGGAAAACGTGAAGAAAGAGAAGTTTGTATTCAGTTTAAGGTTTTCCTGTTAGAGCTGATCTACTGAGAAATAATCCATCAGCCGCCGTCTGACCGACGGTTTAATGTTTCTATCATCTTCAATCACTGACGGATGATCAAACCGCTGCAGCTTTCAAACCTCTGCTTTAAATAAATCTAAAGCTGACGGAGACGGAGGAATCTGGGGGTTAGAACCTGAGGGTGTCCTAAAATCTACATCGTATGAATGAAGATGGATTAATGATCAACATGAGGATTAATCAAGTTTGAAAACACCCTTTATTGTGGTTGTATTGCTATGCTTTATAGAAGAAACATTCAAATTTTCCTTAATTTTGTTTTAAAGAAACATATTTAGACTGCAGCTCAAATCCAAATTATTCAAACATTGCCTTTGTTTAAAACTTAAGGCTCAGTTTAAGTGAAGCGAACCAGATTAGAGCTGTTTAAACTAAACAGCCTCAGATTTTCAGGCATGCCTGTGAATCAGAGCTCTCAAAGGGCTCCGGTTTGCGCTACTAAAACCTGACAAAGGGTGTTTAAACCTTTAATGGAGGGACATGGAGTGGAGTGAAAGACAACTGCTTACCGTGGACGTGGGACTGTTGAAAACTTTTTCCTGGAGCAAAGTGGAAGTTTCCTGCCACCTAAAAAAAAAAAAATTAGAAGAAATGACTCAGGGCACATTTTATCATTTTAAAGCTACAAGAAAACTAATGATTATTATGAATAAAGAATACATGGAATCAGAGGAAATAAAGAGATATCACCTTGTTGACCTCCAGGAAGCCGTAAACCTGACAGCCCTCGTTCTTCTGCTCCATCATCTTCTGCGTGAAGCCTTCTCTCTTACACTGTTCGATGGTGTCGGCGCTTTTAAAGGCCCAGCCGCGCCGCCGGTACGCTTCACGGACGTCGTCACAGGTGTTACAGCACCTGTGCACACACGCAGACCGTTAGCGTTAGCGGTTAAATCCCAGGCCTTCCGGACGAGCAGAGGCTGAGTGGGCGGGTGTTTTACTTCAGGTCTTCGGTCTCGGCGCCGTAGCAGCTCTCACATCTGTTGGGGTCCAGCGTGCTCGGGTCGAACGTTGCCCCGTCATCAGCTCCACCCAGCTCTGACAACAGAACCGTTGATAGTTTATAAAACTACATGAAGCTGTGCATAACCGTGCAGAATTATTTGTAAGGTTGACTTTTCTTTTATTGGTCGGATGAAATACTGTAACTTTGTAAGATAGAAATTTTGAGTTTTAATGAGCTGTATGTCCAAATCATCTGTATTAAGACAATAAAAGACCTGAAATATTTCAGTTAATGTTCAATCAACCTAAAATATATAAATGTCCAAGTTTTTTCACTATATTATGGAAAATAATGAACTTTATCACAATATGCTAATATTTTGAGAAGGACCTGTACTCAGAAGTTTAACTTTAGTAGAACGATTAATTCAAATAGCAAATTTCCTGCAAAATAAACTTTTATGAGCGGCTATATTAAAAAAAAATATTAATGTAATGATTGTAAGTTTTGCTTGACTCATGCATATTTGAGTAACCCTTATGAATTCTGCTCTCTGAGCAGCAGCTCCTCTCTTTCCTGGAAAATAGGGCAGCCTAGACATACTAACATAGAGCCACATGCCCATTTTCTCTGATCAGCAGGTGGAGATGAGAGGCAGAGTGACATCATTTCTGTTCAAAGTGGAGACAAAGTGGAAAGATAAGCAGCTAATCCGGACAGAGACGCCAACCGTTATGTTTTTAGCTGCTGTCTTATGCTACGTTCAGTCCGCTAGCTACAGAAGCAGCTAGTTTCCATGCAAATTCAATGGTTAACGTGCATCAAGGCGACACAATTGGCATCTGCCAATCAGAGAAGCTGATCTGGGAAGGAGATACTTTTACTGATCTACTTTAACTATAAAAGTAAAAGTAATGCAGGACAAAATGTTAAGGACAGAAGATTTACTGCGCTAACCTATTAAAGGA